ATAATATTTAGCAATTAGTTTATCAAAATATAAATCGAATTGAGTTCACTTTTTTCAATACATAAAAAAAAGAAAATGAAATGGATAACAAAAATTATTGTTGATTCATTTCATTTATTCATGTGCTTTAGCATCAAATAGTCGTTTATAAGCATTTTATAATTAATTTAAATATTGAATTTAAAAATGAAATGTATTAGAGAGAGAAAAGAGAAAAAGAAATGGATGAAAATAAAATTTAATATAATTTTATTATTTTAAAGCAAGCACAATTTTAATAATTTAAATTTATTTTTAATTTTAATTTTTTTTTTTTTGTCGTAAATATGCAAATATATGAAATGAAATAATTCGTATTAGTGATAAATAATATTAGCATTATTGTTCGATAAATAATAATAATCGCGATTTTCATTATTTTTTTTTTCACCTGATATTCCCGTCTTTCCCGCTCCCTGTTATTTCTCCTGATATTCTCGTCTTTCTCGCTTCCCGTTATTTTTTTCTATCTGATATTCCCGTCTTTCTCGCTCACTGTTTTCATCTGATATTCCCCGTCTTTTCCCGCTCCCTGTTATTTCTCCTGATATTCCCGTCTTTCCCGCTCTCCGTTATTTTTTTCCCATAAATATGCAAATATATCAAATGAAATAATTCGTAATAGTAATAAATATAATATTAATTATTATTGAAATGACCATCGTTTATGTTGGCCAATCAATTTATAACAATCTGATATTCCCGTCTTTCCCGCTCTCCGCTATTTTTTTCCCATAAATATGCAAATATATCAAATGTAATAATTCGTAATAGTAATAAATATGATTTTAATTATTATTGAAATGACCATCGTTTATGTTGGCCAATCAATTTATAACAATCTGATATTCTCGTCTTTCCCGCTTCCTGTTATTTTTTCCATCTGATATTCTCGCCTTTCCCGCTCCCCGTTATTTCTTCATCTTTTTCTTTTTTTTTTTGAAAATGTATAATGTTGATTCAGCGATATTTATACTGTATCAATGAAAGAAGAAATTAAGCAAAAAGCGATAGATTTTTGAAATGTGAAAAAAAATGAAATGAAATGAAAGAGGTTATTGTTATTGCGAAAAGTGTAATCTAAATAGCATTTAGATGAATCATTTTCAACCATTATTGTCCGTTCCAACTCTAACAATTGAATCGACAATCTGTCCTATCAATTTACCGCAACCAATATCGCAATCATCACAACAACAACAACAACAACAAGAGCAACAACAACAACAACAACAACAGCAACAACAACAACAACAGCAACAACAACAACAACAACAACAAGAGCAACAACAACAACAACAACAGGAGCAACAACAGCAACAACAGGAGCAACAACAGCAACAACAGGAGCAACAACAACAACAACAACAGGCGATACAGCAACAACATCAGTCAGTTATAATGAATTCATCACGAGCGGTTGGAGAACCATCATCATCTTCATTTACATCCATTGCTGATCTTCATGGTATCACAGAATGTTGTGCAACAAGTATGCTTTTTTTTTTTTCTTTAACTATAAATTAAAAATTTTTTAAACATTTTGAAAATTTCAAAATTTTTTGAAATTGCCATAAATCTAAGAGGTATTATTATTTATTTAACAATAATAGATTATACTTTATTTGATATTATAATTAAATATAAAATTTCCATATTATACTGGAATGTTACTATAATTGATTATAAAGCGTTATTATAATTGATTATTATAATACAACAAGCAAAATTGATAAATGGAGTAAGCAGATAATACAGTAAGCTTAGTTAAATATAATGCAGTAAACAATGGGCAATACCATATATGGTTTAATTAAATGGAATTATTTGATAGCTTAGTATAATGAGCATTATTATAATAATCATCGTATTATTGTTATAAAATTCTTCATTTCAAATTTTAATTTAAAAATTATATTTTTGTGATAGGTTCACCAAGCACACCATTTACACCGAAAAGATCGATTGATGAAGATCATCGTGGTGAAATAAAAGAGATGAATGAGTATGATGTACAAAAGCGAATCAAAAGACCGATGAACGCTTTTATGGTTTCTTCCTTAAATAATCTTTCATTTTAGTTAATATTAAATTTACGTGAAGCTTTTTTTATATAATTATAACGTTTGACGTTATTACAGGTAATTTTTATGTAAAGTAGAATAGGAAAAAAGAAAGAACCAAAAGAGATGTAACAAAAGAGATAAATAATATAAAATTAATGTCGTTTGTGAAACGATGCATAATTAATTTGTTAATTAGCAGATAAATTTGATATTATTTTGTATTAAATAGATTAATTATGTATTGAATGTTGGAAATGATATTTTATCAGTAAGATTTTTTTATTGTTTCCATTATTTTAATAGTTTAAATTATCAGTTATGCAATAATAAGAACAATAATATTTGTGTTAAATGTTAAAAATGATATTTTATCAGTGATATATACTTTTGATTGTTTCCATTATTTTAATAGTTTATAATAATAACAGTAATATTTGTGTTAAATGTTAAAAATGACATTTTATCAATGATATACTTTTGATTGTTTCTGTTAATTTAATAGTTTAAATTATCAGTTATGCAATAATAATAATAACAATAATATTTGTGTTAAATGTTAAAAATGAGATTTTATCAGTGATATACTTTTGATTGTTTCTGTTAATTTAATAGTTTAAATTATCAGTTATGCAATAATATTAATAATAATAATAATAGTAATAATCAATAATAATGATAATGATAATAATAGTGAAATATTCTTCTAATTATTCTTTCTAATCATTAAATTCTAATTTCATTTTTAAGGTATGGTCTCAAATGCGTCGAGCGCAAATTGCTAGCACAGATGTGAAAATGCATAATTCACAGATAAGCAAAGAATTGGGTGCTGAATGGAGAGAGATGAGCGTTGAAGAGAAAGCACCATATGTTAAACGGGTTTATATATACATCTTCCTCTTCTTCGTCATCTAAATATTTGAGAGAGAAAATTGAAATAGCTAAAGAAATTAAAATTTCATCAACTATTTCTTTCATTTCTTTTTCTTTCGATTCTTTCATATATATATATATATTTTTTTTGTCTTATTTTAAAATTTAATTTATATTGATCAATTTTCTTCGTTTGAAATTAATTAATTATTTAAGGCTAAAGAATTACGGGAAGAATTAATGCGTCGTCATCCAAATTATGTTTATCGTCCAAAACGTCGATCACATGGTACGACAAAGAATTTATTGACCAAAACATGTGCGGTACTTCCTACAACAATACATCCATCGATGACATCATCATCATCATCATCATCATCATCATCATTTGACCAAAGGTATTGTATGTATATATCATTTTATTTATTTATTTTTCTCGTGGAAATTTATTGCTTGAAATATTTGAACATTTTATAATACAGATATCAAATATCTGTAGATGTTGATTGTCATCTGATATTCTGATTATTCTGGTTGATTTTGTATAATTTCATCATTTCGCAATTCTTTATTACTCCTATAACTGGAATTGTTGCTTTTCTAATTTTCTTTCCTGTATTCTTTTGATTGCTATAAGGAGAAAGAAATGAAATGCAATAGCATAACGTATTAATTAAAATAATTGATTTATAATCGATTACAATTATCAAGTATAATTAATTTTAATCAATAAATGAAATAGATGTAATTAATGAAATGATCATTATAAAAGTTCCCGTTTCATTCAACTATTAATTAATCAAAATTACACTTTATTGAATGATCAATTTTGTTATATGTAGTTGTTGTTTTCTTTTAAACGACGCTTATAAATTTACTTCCAACAGATTTATTTTAATTTTAAATTTTACATTTCTTTTTTTAAATTCATTCTTTAATTTTGGGAAGATATTATTATTGTTGTAACATAGAGAGAAATTTGTATAACTTGCAATTTCTATAAAAAATTTTTCCAATTAATTTATAATAGAAAGATTATCAATTTAAAATTGAATCATTACTTTGTATGTGGAACATTCTTTATTATTTAACATATTATAATCATTAATTATTACATTCACTGATATTATTGTTATCGTCATCCAATTTTACGATGCTATTAATAATTATTTGCAGATCGCATTCACTGTCATCAATTCCAGCAGCTCATGATATTAGACGATTATTCTTAGCTCGGGTAATGCAAGAACAACAAAACAATATGTTGTTAGCAGCATATCGTAATCATTTACTTGCAGCTGCTACTACTACTTCTACTACTTCTACTACTACTGCAACTATTACAACACCTTTAAAAGATTCAGCTAATTTGGATTCTGTTCATCAAGAGGTAAATAAGGAATAATTTATTTTTCATTTTCATTTAAATGTTTCGCAAATAAATTTGGTATTTTTCTCTGTAAATGGATTAATTATAAATTTATTTAATTAATATTATTTGCTAATATATTTGCTAGCATACCTATGAATCTTGTTTATTTTTGCAATTATTATTTACGAAAGATATATTTTGAAAATTTATTAAATGATAATTAAATTGTATATTTTGTCAAATTCATAAATATATTAGTCTCCAATTAACATATTTATTACACAATATAATTTGTTTGTTTAAACTTTCGTTAAATTTTAACATTTTTGCAGAAATTACAATCAACACTGAGAAATATTACAACGGGTAATACTACTGGTGTATCAATGGCAGCAGAACAATTTAATCCAATTTCATCATTATCCATGTTACAATCACCGTACAATCCTATCAGTCCATTACTTGGGTCACAATTTAATCCATTTCTATTTAGTTAATTAATTTTTCCCTTAATTAACAGGGTATTTTCTAACCTCTTAATTGCAAAAAAAAAAAATAAAGAAGAAAGAATGATTAAGATGAAAAATGGAAGAAACGTTTTTGTTTTTGTTTCTAATGTACTGTTAAAGGTTAAGTGTATTTTGTTGTGTGTGTGTGTGTGTGTGTGTGTGTGTGTGTGTGTGTGTGTTTGCATGTTTTATTTATTTATTTGTTTACATTTTTTGTCTTACGTTTTTCTCCTTTTCTTTTGCAGTATAGTAAATAGGATTAGCATTTAATTAATAATAGCATATTAACTATGTGTCATCAAAACTATTATGACTTATTTTGAAATATGAAATATTGATATTGCTTAATTGCTTTTTAATGTAATTAAATTAAAAAAAAAATAAATAAATACTTAAAAAATTAAATATGATAACAATAATCATATCAGCGAATGATTACGATACAACGAAAGAAAACATTACATATACATACATATATATACGTGGAGAAAATGCACCTGGCTATTAGTTTTAATTTTATTTTTATATTTTTATTATTTATTTAGGTAGAATATTCACCTTATTATATCATATATTTCCTTCACATTAGATAGTTAAATAATTCGGAATAGCAGCATATAAAACAATATAGTTAATAATTGAAATTTGTATTTAAATTAACAATTGAAATTATTTTGCATCCTTCAACAAAGCCTATCAAAAATAACGAAATATTACAAAACTTATAATTTTGTATTTTTAGATACTATAGAAACAGTCTGTACTTGGTCCTATAGAATGCGAGAGAGAGAGAGAGAGAGGGGAGGAAGGGACTTCGAACACGGTATTACCTAAGTATTACCTGTTACTTTTAACGCTTTATTACTGTATAAAGGTAATGTAATGTTTTTTTTTCTCGTTTTTCTTTGTTAAAATAATCAACTAATGATAATAAGGTATTATTTTAACGGGTACTTTTAAAAATGGAAGCATTATTTGAATAGTTAATTGATAAGATATTGTGAAAATCATTTAAAAAAAAAAAGAATGAACTGATAACGATCATTATATATTTCCCTTGTTGAGAATATTTGTTTTATCAAAATCTTTGATAATATATCTATAATTTGCTAAGTTTATTGTAATATTTTTTTATTGTGTGAATGATTATGTTGTTGATGAATTTTGCTGATTAATTATCAAGTGCATAAATAATTTGAATTTATTGCATTTACATTTCAGTACAGTTTAAATATAGGTTTAAAAAGTTGCTTCAAGCTTACATTATCTTTTTCCCATATATTTCCTATCATGCAATACTTTTTTATTTTTTAGAAATAGAAATAGGTTGTCAATTTAGATTATCATTTCTAATTCACTTTTTTAAATATGCCGGTAATTTTGCATTATTATATCAGCGGTAATACTATGTTATATCAGCAGTAATACTATGTTATATCAGCAGTAATACTATGTTATATCAGTAGTAATACTATGTTATATCATTGTAGTGGAAAGTTAGTAAATGTATCATTTATATAATCAAAATTGATGACATTAAAAAGTTTTGAACTATGCAATTAGACGGATAATCTGTCAGTAAAACCTTATTATAGTTATAAATTTATTAGATCAAATTTTGTAGAAGAAAATTCATTCCAAAGTTTTAGTTTACTATTATTGTAGAACGGTAATTCGTGTATCATGAGCATTTAATAGGATGTGATTTTTACCACCACAGTAAGCGATCATTTCATCTGTGATAACTACCTAAAAATGATCAAATTTTTATCATCAATATGATCAATTTAATTTATTTCAATAAATAATATCATAACGATTTGTACTGTATATGATTACTGTAAAGCATTTATATGTTGTTATTTTCTATCGGATTAGTAGAAAATTTTCGATGAAGAGATACTATCTACCCGTATTGAATTAAAATACTATTGGAAAATTGATATGTGATGGTATGGAAATTATTGATTAAAATATTATGAATTCTTTTCAGTTTAATAATTTAATTTTTATAATTTATTAGGACAAAAATTCTTTTTGTTTTTTCGTAATCAAAGTATCACCATTTTATTACCTGTATGACATCATGAAATTGTTGTTTCACATTGGCACAATGGATGACAATAATGTTTAATTTGGGAATTTCGAATTGTTCATTCGAAATTGCCATAGATCTTTTACGCTTATCTTTATTCGTTATTTGACAACCTTTACCAAGATATAATTTCACCTTTTTACCCTAAAACAACGATTAGTTCAATCAATCGGATAATAATATCAGTCGCACAGTATATCAACAAGAAAATCGTTCATACGGTATTTTGATTTATACCAGTATCATATCAACGAGAAAATCGTTACATATAAACGTCGTGTTTGATTAGCATTATTTTAACTATATAGTAAAAATGCGGAAATAATCATTATGATATCACCGCAACTCAGGTCTTGTTTACAGATGATTTAGCATAATTAGTAATTTAGCAAAATTATTATTAAATAAGCTAAAAAAAAGGGAAAAGCATAAAGTTTGAAATATTTCTTTAGGTAACATTGTTAGTACGATATCGAGAATGATAATATATATTATCGGGACTAATTTCAAATTGTCATGGTTATTTATCAATATTTGAAAAGGAACCAAAGTTATTTATCAATATTTGAAAATTCTATTTATTCTTTTTTTCCCACAGACATACTTATAAATGAATAAATAGTTTTAAGTTTTAAGTTTTACTAATTAGTTTTAAGTCTAAAAATTCGAACTTTAAAATCCAAATTATGGTTACATACGCAATAACATAATATATACGAAAAGAATATCGGAAAGATTATTTAATTGTTATTCATCAATATTTAAAAACTTTAAATTATTTTTTTCCCTCACAAATATTTTTCAGCTGAGGTATTTGTTGATTAATCGGAAATTTAAACATTCGAATTTAATATTTAAATTAAAACAAAATTTCATTTTAATAGTTACATCAACAATAATGTTTATATTGCAAGGAATATAAATGGGTAGGGAAGATTGTGCGATAATTGTTGTCTGATGGTGAAATGTAATAAACGAAATTGGTACCATTTCACGAATTACCTAAAATTAATTAAAGGTTTCCATACCTTTGCATTTAATCTAAAATATAATAAAACTCATGGAAATGAATAGAAAAGGAAAAAAGCAATTCCAATTACTGAAATCAAATAATTAGGGAAACTCAGGGCGAAATTTTAATGGTAATTAACAAATTACACACATATAGCATTGTTAATTAGTTTTTAAAGTAACCTGAAATGCATAATAATCAGTTTTCTTCTCTCTTTTCCCATAATACCAAATAGATATGGGTCCTTCCGATACAATTTCATAAGAGCTTTCATTAGGAATAACCGGGCATTTTAACAGTCCCAAATTTTGGCTCTTTACAAGAGACATCTTGTAAACTTTGGTGTGAAGTTTAACTAGAAGGAAATTTACTAAAAGTTATTAGTTATACAATTTATCCGAGCATTTTCTAGTAAGAGAATTATCGTTATCGATATAAATTATCAGTTCCACATCGCACATTATTATCAATTTTATTGATAGTTACTAAATTCATATTACGTTATCATCAATTTTGTTGATAAAAATTATGTAACATAAATGCGTTAACAATTATCACTAAATCGAATTGTATCTTCATTATAATAGTAAATAAATAATTATCATAGTAATCATCTAGTTTGAAATCATTTAACAGCTATTTGAATTGGAAATTAAAAAGTGGAAATACGATTGGAAACTTTCTCCTACTAGAAAATACTCAGAGTATTATTTTAAATGTGTTCTGATGCTGTCAACTGACCGATAGATTTTCTTACAATTATTGAAAATGAAATAACAAAATATCGGATGGAATTTAAGATAACATTTCAATGCAAACTTTTATCATATTATTTTAAATTTAATTTAATACTTTAATATATCCACTAATACAAATTACTGTTATTATTGCCAGGTGATAATCAGGAAAAACTATGAAATTATCAAAGTTATCTAATTATCAAAGTTATATTTAATTGATGCTAAATGATTGCATCATTTGATAATACTATGCGAAATATATGTTGTATAAAGTATTGAATATGATATAGAATATATATACAACTTTAAATAATATATTTAAATATTCAATTAAACTACAATTAAATTAAAAATTAGATTACACTACTGTATGAGAGATACATTTGAAATGATATGTAAACTATACAGTACATCTAGTCTTTTAATTAAAGTACTGTGTAGAATTTATGCAAAGTATTTATGTAACGTATACAATATAACTATGGTTTAATTCCTTCAACTAAGCTACTATATGAAATATATGGAAAGTATTATATAAATCATACTGTATACATATATTTAATTATCGTAGTTTTCACGTTTATTCTTTCTGTAAGGTTACGGTTAAACAAAAAACTGTCTTTGTTTTTTACTTCATTTATTTATAAATATAATTATTAAAATTAGTGAAACAGAATAATTATTGCTAAGAAATTAAAAAGAAAACAAATACTGTAATTAAAATTAAAACTAATTTGAATGCAGTAATTTAAAATTGAAATTAAAATAAAACAAAAAGTTGCAATAAATAATTAATTAATCTGAAAAAACAAAAAAGTTCCAATTTTGAAATTTCTCCTCATTAATAGTAAAAGATGAAGAATTTTTCTTTCCTTTTCATTTTATGAAATGAAATATGTTTTTCAAAGTAAAACATAGAAAATGCAAAAGGAAGCGCTTTATGAGTGATAAATAGCATGCAGCGTGCATAATGCAAATAGAAAGAAAGACTGAAAGAAATGCAAAATGCAAATTTCTTTTTTTTTTTTAAACTAACGTAAACATAATGATTGTAAATCAATTCCGCTTGTTAGATATGTTAATTTTAAAATGCAAAAATTTGTAGTATCTAATAGAAGAGATGTAAAATAGTTTTTAAGCTTTAAATAAAATAATAGCTTTTATTTGATAAATATTTAAGTATTGCATTCATTATTCAATATCATTGATAGTATATTTTAGAGAACATTAAATATCCCGAAATGAAAATCAAAAATTCATATATTTAAACTGCAAAATAAAAAAAAAAAAAACAAATTGAAAAAATATACTATAAAATTTAAAATAAAATATTTAATAATAAGAAGAATGAAATTTGGGAAAAGAGAAGAATGAAATGAAAAAATATGAAATTTAGGAAAAGAAGGAAGCGATTTTTTAATTAATGCAATTTCTATTAAAAAAAAAAATAAGAAGATTAAATTATTCAAATAAAACATTTAAATAATATATAGGAGATTTTTTGTTTAAATTTTACAACATTTCTTTTGATAATTGCAATATTCATATCATTGATAGTATATTTTAGATAATATTAAATATCGGAAATGAAAATCAAAAAATTATTCGTTATATAAAATGAAAAAATTATAAATACTTAATAAAGAAATGTAAAGAAAGTATAATATAAAATTTTAAAATAAAAATAATTTCCATAACGCATATGGAAATTTTCATGATGCGATGATCGAATGATATATTATAATATATGTTATATATATATATATATTCATACCATAGTGTATAATACTAAATAATATTTTTCATTGCTACTTTCGTACTTTCTTTTAGTAGAATGATATATAGTCATACCATAATGATTATTACTAATTAATAATTTTCATTGCTACCTTTTATGCTTTCATTATTTTGTAATACTTTTTTACACATATTAAAGTAAGAAAAGGAAAAGGAAAAAAAAGAAGGGTAATAAAATTTAAATTTTATTTAATTCCTTCATTTCCAATATATTCAAAACTAATTCTTTCGGCATTAAAAGAAATAAAATTTCATTTAAAATGAACAAAAAGTAAATGAAAAAAATGTTTTTTGATATTATTAGAAATTCAATTAAAGGAAAATGAAAATGAAAAAATTCTGCAGAAACGACGAAAAATCATTTTTTTCCATTGCTATTTTCAAAAAAACCTGAAATTAAATGCTATCATTAATAAATTAAATTTTTTGAAGAAAATATTAACGAAAGTAAATAAAAATGTGGTACTAATTTAAAAGGACATTAGTGAAGAGAAAAATGGGACAATTGAAAATTTCAAGGACGATAAGAATTTATATAGAAATTCTATATATAATTTTATACATTAATATATATAAATAGTTTTGTATAGTTATATACAATATATATAGTTT